GAGGGGGGGGGGGGGGGGGGGACAGTTCTTTGTGAAGATTGAGCTTTTGCCCGTTTCTGCTTGATGAGTATAGAAAGCCAGTCTTGCCTTGTCTTGTGAGAGTATAGGCCTACTGTGTACAGTGTATAGGCCTACTGTATGTGTGAATGTTCAGAATTTTGATGACAGGACTATTTGGCGGTATAGGCCTATCCTATATATATATATATCATCAGCGACTTTCTACAATCCCTTGTCTTTTTTTTTTTTTATTTTGCGAAAAAGAGAGCACCCAAATCAGAACCATGATTTGGGCACTTGATGATAATGTTCTATTGAGATCCGGGAATCAAGGAAATAATGAAATAAAACAAAGCTATACTAATGATAGAGATCTAGTATGATATATTATAATTTATTATTGTTATATATTGAAGGGTGCCCCTTGATGTCCTTATTGGAATAGGGGTTTTATCTGGAAACCCCAAGAAACTGATTTTGAGAGATTGTGGAATAACATAACAATGTCAATATATGAAGGGGTGAGATACAAAACCCGCTAAGCGCCATTTTAGAATAAATCGAGATTTCTTGCTTATAAATGCACATTGTTACCGGCTATCAGATGCATAAAGTGTTTTCAGACAATATTATTTTTATGTTACCGCTAGTGACAAAAGATTATGCTGATGCTGTAAATCATTCTGAATCTGAACTGATGCTGTGATTAGTGTGATTGTGAAATCTTATTTTGTGCTCTCAATTCTAGTCTTAAAAACCTCTAGTGGGCTGACTTAGGCCAGCAGTCCCATTACCCACTGCAAATTTTAGTAGGAAGGAACCACTTTGCATGTAAGTACCTTACACCATATCATTGGAAAATAGAAACGGACACAAGGTCCTCAAGCATATTCAGGCCCTCATTTGCATAAATTAAAAATGGCCGCCACTGAAATATAATGAAAATGATAACTGGATATAACTTTTGACAGACAAATGGCAGAATATTATTTTTGGTGTTGTTTCATATAAATATATGGCTGGCAAACTCAATGACACCATCAAAGTTATAATAAAAGGTCAAATTCACTCCTAATTTGCATAAATTAAAAATGCCCGCCACTGAAGTATAATGCAAATACGAACCGAATGTATAACTTTTGACAGAAGAATGATAGAAATATAAATGTGTTGTTTCATAGTAAGTTCTGCCTGACAAACTCAACGACACCCAAAGAATTATCATAAAAGGTCAAATTGATTCTTAATTTGCATACATTAAAAATGGACGCCTTGAAAAATTAAAAAAATTACGCACAACCAGAGCTGTTAAAGTACTTTTTAAAAAGTACTTAAGTACAAATTTAAGTACAATCTAAAAAATGTACTTAAGTACAGTAAAAGTACTTTCCTATAAAATGTACTTGAGTACAAGTACTTTAAAAAAAAGGCCGTCGTTATACAGACTCGAGTCCGAATAACATTTTTTCATATTCGGACTCGAGTCCGAATTTAAAAAATTCTTATTCGGACTCAAGTCCGAATATGAAAAAATGTTATTCGGACTCGGGTCCGGAAAAAAGGAAGTGTCTTCGTTCTATAGATCTAACGTTCAGTGCTTCCAATTTTCCGCCATTTTTTAGTTTTCCCCACACCTTATCTGCCGATCCAATGCCCGCCGCCTCATTGATACGCCTCCCCCCCCACGTTTCCCACTTTCATTGTTGTAGAAAAAGGTAAAATTGAAGATTATCAGACCACCTGGCATATTATGAGCTGTGTAAAAAAAGAAAAAAAAAAGACCGATTTGTTCAAATACACAAGCCTGTGTCATATCGATTGTTTACCAAGAAAAAGTTGTGTTGCTGTGTAGAGCTGAGCATACGGCAACTTTTGATTCCATAGACCAGCACACAATTCATTACGTATTCATTACGTAGATTTACGTCAAGACTAGCTTATTATTGTAATAATGATATGTTGCCAGGGGGAAAAAGACCGACGCTTATACGACCTTCAAAGCCCGGACCGATAGTGCCCCCCACCACCCTCCCCGACACGCACACAGCCACACGTGTGCAGGCCGCCCATCCGACCCCGACACATGCTAACGAGCCATCTTTAATTGCTTCTGATGACCTCTTGATAAATAAACATTTATTAGAAGCGCTATAACTTTTCAGGCCGGCCTCAAATTCATCATAAGATTAAAACTCGGCTCCTGCACAAAACGCCTTTTTGCCCGAAGTGATCCCGGTCTCTACCCAGCCTGAGGCGAGTCACGAGTGAGGCAGGACAGGAAGCCGGATTCACGAGTCACAGGAAGTCGGAAGTGATGTCATGCTGGACAAGAATCAGAGTCCGAATAACATTTTTTCATATTCGGACTCGAGTCCGAATAATCACTTCGT